TCCTGTGGAATGCCACCTTGTCTTCAAGATGGCAAATGTTAGTGCTTTACCCTAGGGCTCAGCAGGAACAAACAATTGTGAAGTGTCTAAATTAGCATTTTAAAGGTGTCTGTAAGGTGGGTTAATTGGCAATCAGTGAACTCCACTGAAATTAGGACTTCAAAACTCCTGTCTAGACATACCCATGTGTGACAGGTTTCAGAGCAGGTAGCCGTGTTAGTCTGTATCAGCAAAAACAACGAGGAGTCCTTGTGGCTCCTTAGAGACTAACAAATTTATCTGGGCATAAGCTTTCGTGGGCTAAAACCCACTTCATCAGATGCATGGAGTGAAAAATACAGTAGGCATATATACACAACAAAAAAACTTCAAAAACAGACTCCAACGAGAAACTGCAGAACTGGAATTAATTTATCAACTGGACACCATCAAATTAGGCCTGAATAAAGACTGGGAGTGGATGGGTCACTACAAAAACAAAAAACTAATTTCCCCCTACTGTTACTCACACCTTCTTGTCAACTGTTTGAAATGGGCCACTCTGATTACCACTACAAAAGTGATTTTTCCTCCTCTTGATAATAGCCCACTTCCACTTTAATTGAATTGTCTCATTAGAACTGACCCCCCACACACACTTGGTAAGGCAACTCCCATCTTTTCATGTACTGTGTATATATATCTGCCCACTGTATTTTCCACTCCATGCATCTGATGAAGTGGGTTTTAGCCCACGAAAGCTTTTGCCCAAATAAATTTGTTAGTCTCTAAGGTGCTACAAGTACTCCTCATTGTTTATATCCATGTGTGTAAGTGTAAGTGGGGGAACGGTCCTGCTATTGTGGGGAACTTTCCTGGCTTCTGCACTACCCCTGGAATCGGCTAGCGAAAGGATAAGTCCTCGCCCCAGCTCCCTTTACCCAGAGGCCTGCCTGACCTCAAGGACTCCCCTTCCACTCTGCTGTGTCGCAGAGTCCTTGGAACCAGGCATACCAAACCAGCAAAAAAAATGCAGAAATTGGGCTTGTTTTTGGCTTAATTGGCTTGGGAGTTGCTTGTTGGCTGGTTTTTGACTTGTAGCTTGTTGCTGCTTATTTTTTGATCGGCTCCCGGCAAGCAGGGGCAAGGGGCAAACAGGGGCAAGGGGGGGAAGAGAGTCAGGGGTGCCCAGCGGGCCCACCACAGTCCCAGACTGCACACCGGAGGGATCTAGTCACATAGCGTCTTGGGGTTCTTAGGGACTGGCTTGTTTTGGCCTTGTTTTGAATGGGATTAGCTTGATTTTTGTTTTATTGTGAAAGTCGGGCTGCTTATTAACCACATGAAAGTTGGCAACTGTGTGTTAACCCCAACAAGGCTGGGCCCAGGATTCCTTGGGGCTTGACCCCCAACCTTGTGCTGTTCACTTAGGACAGGGGCTAGGGTGGCCCCGCTCCAGCGTACTCTCTCCTCACCAGTGACTTTCTTGACCCATTGATTAATTTATTAAACAGCAGCAGCAAGAGAAATAAGGGGAAAATGGGAAAGGTTAAAGGAAACAAGGAACCCACCCTGTGGGCATGGGGAAACCACAAACAGCATCTCTGGGACGTAAGGGAAGTTCACAGTCTGTTCCTCACACATCCCAGGCCTCCCTCCCAGGCCCTGGCTGCGCTGCGGTGATACTGCAGGTCAGACCCCTGCTCTGAAATTGGCCACATGCCCGCAGGGTCTAGGTGACAGGACCCTTCTCTCCAGCATCAGCTCCCCTGTCAGGTTCGTGTTTCCCCTCCGAGTCCAGCTTGCAAGGGCTCTTGTCGGGTGATATATCCCTGCACTCCCCCGTCCCTCCCAGTCACTCACGGCACTTGGCTGCAGTGTTAGAGGTGACACAGCCGGTATCCGCTAGCCTGGCTCTGGGCCTGCGGCTCCCCACTACAGCTAAGCCCTGGATCCTCATCGGGGCAACTGGTCTGCGCTGCCCCAGCTCTGCCCCCAGCCCAGCTCTGGCTGCGGATCTCTCCTTTACTCTGCCCTTGGCAGCCCCAGCTCACACCCAGCCCCCGGGCTCCTGACTCCCTCATTGACCTGCCTGCCCTGTCAATCAGGCTGACTTGGAGCATTGGCCTCTCCCATTGGCCCTGGGGACTGTCAGCCTCAGGAGCCTAATTTCTCTTCCACCCTTTCGCAATCTAGGAGAAAGTGGGTTTTTTTGGTTGACCCTCCCTCTGAGTTTCAGTGAGGGACCAGCAGCCCCCTCACATAAGGTTCTATTCAATACATATACGAGGTATCGCCTTAAATAAATAACATATAGAAAAACATCTGCAGTATGATGTGTTAAGTGCTGTCGAATGTCATTGCTGTGTGTCATAAATATAAAGGGAAGGGTAAACCCCTTTAAAATCCCTCCTGGCCAGAGGAAAAATCCTCTCACCTGTAAAGGGTTAAGAAGCTAAAGGTAACCTCGCTGGCACCTGACCAAAATGACCAATGAGGAGACAAGATACTTTCAAAAGCTGGGAGGAGGGAGAAAAACAAGGGGTCTGTGTCTGTGTGATGCTTTTGCCGGAGACAGAACAGGAATGGAGTCTTAGAATTTAGTAAGTAATCTAGCTAGGTATGTGTTAGATTATGATTTCTTTAAATGGTTGAGAAAAGAGCTGTGCTGAATAGAATGACTATTCCTGTCTGTGTGTCTTTTTTGTAACTTAAGGTTTTGCCTAGAGGGATTCTCTATGTTTTGAATCTAATTACCCTGTAAGGTATCTACCATCCTGATTTTACAGAGGTGATTTCTTTTTAGTTCTATTAAAAGTCTTCTTGTAAGAAAACTGAATGCTTTTTCATTGTTCTAAGATCCAAGGGTTTGGGTCTGTGGTCATCTATGCAAATTGGTGAGGATTTTCACCAAACCTTCCCCAGGAAGTGGGGTGCAAGGGTTGGGAGGATTTTGGGGGGAAAGATGTGTCCAAACTACGTTTTTTTCAGGAACCCAGATAAAGTTTGGTGGTGGCAGTGGAAATCCAAGGGCAAAGGGTAAAATAATTTGTACCTTGGGGAAGTTTTAACCTAAGCTGGTAAAAGTAAGCTTAGGAGGTTTTCATGCAGGTCCCCACATCTGTACCCTAGAGCTCAGAGTGGGGAAGGAACCTTGACACTGGTAACACTGTCCAGGCTGCTAAGCTATTCCAGCTGCTCAGGGCTGCTGTTCAAGTACATAGGGAGAAAATAAAGGCCAAGGCACAAAACAAGTTTAAACTAGCTAGAGACATAAAGTGTAAAAAGAAAACTTTCTACAAATATATTAGAAGTCAGGGAAAGACCAATGACAGGGCAGGCTCATTACTCAATGAGCGGGGTGAACAATAACAGAAAATGTGGAAATGGAAGAAATGCTAAATGACTTTTTTGGTTCAGTTTTCACCAAAAAGGTGAGTAGCGATTGGACGTCTAACATAATGAATGCAAGTGAAAATGAGGTGGGATCAGAGGCTAAAGTAGGGAAAGAACAAGTTAAAAAATTACTTAGACAAGTTTGATGTCTTCAAGTCACCAGGGCCTCATGAAATACATCCTAGAATACTCAAGGAGCTGAGTGAGGAGATATCTGAGCCACTAGCGATTATCTTCAAAAAGTCATGGAAGACGGGAGAGACTCCAGAGGACTGGAAAAGGGCAAATATAGTGCCAATTTATAAAAAGGGAAATAAGGATAACCGGGGGAATTACAGACCAGTCAGCTTAACTTCTGTACCCAGAAAGATAATGGAGCAACTAATTAAGCAATCAATTTGTAAACACCTAGAAGATAAGAAGGTGGTAAGTAACAGTCAGCATGGATTTGTTAAGAACAAATTTTGTCAAATGAACCTAATATTTCTTTGACAGGATAACACGCCTTGTGGATAGGGTGGAGGTGGTAGATGTGGTAGGTCTTGACTTTTGATGCGGTCTCGCATGACCTTCTCATAAACAAACTGCAGAATTCAACCTAGATGGAGCTACTATAAGGTGGGTGCATAATTAGTTGGAAAATCGTTCCCAGAGAGTAGTTAGTGGTTCACAGTCATGATGGAAGGGCATAACCAGTGGGGTCCAAAATGATCTGGAGAAATAGTCTGCAGTAAATAGGATGAAAGTCAAGAAGGACAAATGCAAAGTACTCCCCTTAGGAAGGAACAATCAGTTGCACACATACAAAATGGGAAATGACTGCTCAGGAAAGAGTTCTGCAGAAAGGGATCTGGGGCTCACAGTGGATCGCAGGCTAAATATGAATCAACAATGTAACACTGTTGCAACAAAAACATTTCTGGGATCCTGGGAACAGGCGTCGATCACCCTGTTAGCCACTGGGTAGAACTGAGCAGCGAGGCACAGAGTGTATGAGGTAGTTGCCGAGCAAACACTTGACCAGGTACTTGGTGAGGCACTGAACTATTCAGTTATATCGTTATTTTAGCCCCATTCTCTAGGACAGGGGTTCTCAAACTGGGGGTTGGGACCCCTCAGGTGGTCACGAGGTTATGACCTGGGGGGTTGCGAGCTGTCAGCCTCCACCCCAAACCCCACTTCACCTCCAGCATTTATAATGGTGTTAAATATTTTTTTAAGTGTTTTTAATTGATATGGGGCGGGGGGTCGCACTCAGAGGCTTGCTGCGTGAAAGAGGTCACCACTACAAAAGTTTGAGAACCACGGATCTAGGATACGATCGACAGACCTGGGTACAATATTTCCACACACACACACACACCCGCCCAGAATCCTTTAGGAAGTGAAACCAGGATTTCCCCACAACTACTGCCCACCCCTCCAGCTGAGAACTGTATTTCAGAGACAAACCTGCCCCCGTTATGGCTGGGCTGCCATCTGTGAGAGAGCAGTTCCTGCCTGGGAAATCCCAGGTACTGAATGTGGAACAACGGATCACAGTGACACAATCGGGAGGATGTTTGGGTTTGGTGTGTTCTTTCCCCCCACATCGCCACTGACGTTCCTGATGGATTCTCCTACAGCCGCACCGGGGAAGTTGGAACAATGCTGGGGCCTCTGCTGATCCCCTTGACATACTTCTGTCTTCACACCTCGCTGGGAATCGCTCAGGTAAACTCTTAAGCTTTGCCAGTGAAGCACTCTGTGTTTTCTCGTTTTTCTGCTCAAGGCTATGCAGGCAGCAACACTGCCTTAGACCCATAGAGATGTAGGGCTGGGAGAGACCGCGAGAGGTCATCTAGTGCAGCCTTGTGCGCTGAGGCAGGGCCAAGTGCACCGAGACCAGCCCGGACAGGTGTTTGTCTAATCAGGGCCCCACAACCCCTTCCGCAGTGGCTGGTAGGGGAACCCCGGCCCTCCCACTAAGCTGGGTTCCCATCCCGGGACGCTCTGACCAGCAGCCAAGGTCTGTTCCATCAGACTCCTTGCTGCTGCCTCCCTGGATATCTTCCTACCACAGCCCTTTTCCAGCCCGCACAGCCTCTCCCGGCTCATCCTTCTTTCAGGGCTGGGCTCGCAGGGCTCCCCCTTGGAATCCCCCAACACAATCCCAAACCAAAAGAACAAAATTAAACCAATTTCTGCCCAGCTCAGGCTTCCTCCCCACCCTGCAGGAGTCTCTCTGTTCCCCTCAGGTCTCTTCACTGCCAGGAGAGGGACTGCCGAGGTCTTCCCCCTCTCCCTGCAGCCCCTCAAACTCTAGTCCAAACTCCCCCTAGGCTTTACCAACACTGCCCCCGGCTTCCTCCTGGTCCAAGGCAACTCACCTCTGGCCGCAGGCTTCACGGCCCCCACCCTCGTAGGCCTCCTTCTGGCTCTGGGCCCTCCATTTCTAGCTCCGGGCTTCTCTCTGCCTTTAGCCCAAGAGGAGACATCCCCAGCCACCCCAGCTGGGTTTGATCACCAGTTATGCCTAACACCCCTCCGAGTGCCACCCGCAGCCTAAAGGGGTTCAGGCTCCTGTTAATCTCTGGTTAACCAGTCTGGGGTTTATACAACCCACCACAGCGCTGTTGTCGTCCTCCATGCGTGTTTGGGGGTTAGATCCTGGATGGAACCTTCCCACGGGCACCACCAGCCCTGGGGCATGCAGTGCATGGCTGGCATATGGAGATGGCAACCCACTGACTCCCCCTGAGGTAAATGGGGGTGTTTTCTAGATATTTGTATGGGAGTGGATTGGGATCTCAGTCCCTCCTAGCTCCCTCCCATATCTCTTGTGCCCCATGCTTTGTCTTCCCTATTAATGACAGGTTTCAGAGTAACAGCCGTGTTAGTCTGTATTCGCAAAAAGAAAAGGAGTACTTGTGGCACCTTAGAGACTAACCAATTTATTTGAGCATGAGCTTTCGTGAGCTACAGCTCACTTCATCCGAGGTGAGCTGTAGCTCACGAAAGCTCATGCTCAAATAAATTGGTTAGTCTCTAAGGTGCCACAAGTACTCCTTTTCTTTTTCCCTATTAATGTATCCCTTCCTGCCTTTCTTCCTAACCTCCCCCTCCCCACCTGCACATAGGATATCTATTACACTAACAAAGTCCTCAGTAAACTAAAAATGCATCTGTAATGATTACAGTGCTCACTGGTCCTTGAGTGTGCCCCCGCTCCCCTCAAAAAAAAAAAATCATGGAGCCAACATAACATTTGCCATACAACACACTGTGGATTCTGCCTATATGTTCCACCCCTTTCATCAGTCTTGTCTATTTTGAGGTAAGCCCCTAAGGGCAGAGGCCATCTCTCAGTGTGTTTGTACAGGGCTGAGCACAATGGGGCCCTGATCCTGGGTGTGACCTCTAGGTGGTATTGTAACACAAATGCTAATGTGACTGTACGTTTCCTTTATTCTCCCAGACAAAACGTGAGGTGAAGCTGAGCATGATGGATGACGCTTTTGATGACCAATATCTAGGATGTGCTAAAAAAATGGATGGAATTGCACCTGGACTGCTAGAAAAAGAAAAGAGCAAGTCCTCACTGCTTAGAACGGTATGGGAAAAAGCAGAACAACAATGGGAAAAAGTTAAAAAAAAAATTTCTCGCCCCAGAGACTTTACAGATAAGCAGGGAATAGCCATAGTAGCCTATACTGACAAAATCCAAATCTACAATGAAGTTTTTCCAACTACATTTAATAAGGCAGTGAGAGAGAATGGGACATCTCAAGCGGATTACATGGCCAAATTCCATTTCAAAGCCTTTCACTATTATTTGACAACTGCTCTACAGCTCTTACGAAAGGGGTGTGATGTGACGTATAACAGGAAGGTGTACCGGGGCACTCAGACTAAATACATAGGATCAGGTGACATGAGGTTTGGACACTTTGCCTCTTCATCAATTGAGGAAAAAGAGGCTGAAAAATTTGGTACAAACACATTTTTCACCATCCGGTCATGCTTTGGAGTTGAAATCTGGAAATTCTCATATGATCCTCTCCAAAAAGAAGTGTTAATCCCAGTCCATGAGACATTCAATGCAGCCAATGTACAAGGGAGTAACCACTTTGTCCTACAGAGCAAAAACCGGACCTGCAGCTATTTTAACTGCGCGTACCTGGGCGGTGAGTACTGGGCTCAACATGAGAAATATCTGTGTGGGGCTTTTTGCTGTGGAGAATTTGAAAACCCCACCTCAGGGAGAGCTGATGAGAGGGACGCTGACTTGGGGACTTGCCACCAGGGCTGGGGGAGACAGGCTGCCGCGACTCTTGCTGCTAGAGATCCTCAGGCTGGGGTGGGTGGACACTAGGGCCCAATACTTACTGAGGAAAGAGAAGGTGCCTAGACGTCTCACACACACACACACACACACACACACATCAGGGCTAGGGACGATGGTGAGGAACTTCAGAGAGATCTAACCAACTAAGTTGGGTGAATGGGCAACACAACATCAGGTGAAATTCACTGACACATTCAATGTAATGCAGATTGTGAGGAATAATTTCCCTGGATTGTTAATGAGCTATATCAACTCAGAAGGAAACCCGGCCCTCATTGTGGAGACTTCAACGCAAATCTCAATGAAAACCTCTGTTCAATGTGCTACTAGTCTCCCCCCCCGACCAGACCCGCTCTCCAGCTCAACCCCAATCAAATACACCTTTCCTTGACCCACCCCAAACAAGTTCGGAGTTTTTCCCCCAAAATCTCCCCAAACCTGCACCCCACTTCTGGACAAGTTTTAAACCCCAAGCCTAGGTGACCAGCCCAGCCTTGGATCTTAAGAACAATGAACAATCCTCCCAACACTTGCACCCCCCCCTCTCCTGGGAAATGTTGGATAAAAGCCCACCAATTTGCATATGACCCAGCCCAAACCCTTGGATCTGACGAAACTTCTTTTTAAAAGCTTTTAATAACAAAAACCCCTAACGCTCATGCAACCCCACAAACTAGTTACAAAATCACAGCATGTTTTCTTTCGCCTTTTTCGCCCTCCTCCCTATCTACTAAACTACCCTTTGTCCGCAACAGCCCAGCTGTTCCCCCCCGTTTGAAGTCGTCTCTCTTGGTTTTTGGTCAGTGCCCTTCCTTTAGCAACCCTCAGGGTCCCGCCATTCATTTCCCATTTCCCCCAATCGCAGGTGCCGGGTTTTTCCCCTAGGAAACGCCCTCCAAACACCATCTAAAGCACTTTTCCACTCCAAGGCTTTAACCGTTGTCAACTTCCTCCCCTGTTAGCCTGATTTTCAACAACTAAACCCCCTTTTTGGTTCTGCTGTCCTGCTATCCCCAAACTTTTCCATACTTTTTCGCTGTTCCCACAGTTTTGCTAAAACACACATGATTTGATCATCTTTCGCATTAAAAGCCCACACCACCCGTGGTTACTACGTTTGTCAATCGGGCCCAGTCATGATTTGGTTAAACTCGCCTCCTCCACTGAACAGCTTGTTTTTTTTGGTTGTCGTCTGCTTGCGTTCAACTCTGTAATACCCCAGCCTAAGGTTGACGTTTTTTGATTTGGCCCCTTTTGGATACCCACTTTGGCCGTGGCGATCCTGACCCACCTGGTTAGGTAAGTCCCGTTTACCATTTGACCTCAGCCAACAGTTACCGCCTCCCATCCTCAAGGTTTTGTAGATGTTCAGGTGTGCCCAAATCCAAACCCTCCAAGGTCGGCATATTCCCTAACCGCTAAGCCTCTACAAGTCTTTGGAAAGTCACCCGAAAGGTCTTAATCTACAGCCCAGTGTGTAACGACTCCGGCATCACTCCGCCAGTCCCTGGTTAATCCATGGCCCAGTTTCCAAAGTTCACGGCGCAGGGATGTTGTCTCAGTTACAGCAGAGATCCACCAAAATGTATTTCCCCCGGTTTGGAACACCCGACCCTGCTTTCAGACATTACCCCCACTGTAACTACCTGGTCTCCCGTTCTAAATTTTAGGAGGACACCTAGTTGGCCCTATGGGTGAGCATACCGTGTCAATGGTTCCCTTCAGTCATCCGGGGTGACGTCTAACTCCTGGATGCGTCACCCCAATCATCCCCTCCCACCACCACCCCTGTATAAACCCTCTCCCGCTAAACGACAAACCTTACCGGAAAAAAGTTAGAGTAAGGTCACCTTACTTTCGGTTGGAGGTGGGGACTGAGATAATTAACACCCCACTCCTGGACCGTGACTCCCACAGTCCTTTTAGCCCCCTAACCTGCCGGTCTCCTACTTTGAAATCCTGCAGTTTATCATACCAAGCTTTTGTTCTTTTTGCCCTGTAGTTTTCGCAAGAAAGGGTTCGGAGGGTGTTTTGTAGGTTGGTTACAAAGTCCAGAATGTTATTCCTGGAGAAGGTGTAAACCCTCCCATTGGTTCACCAACTGCAAGCCCTAACCCCCCATATACAAGTTCAAAGGGGAAAACCAAACGGGAGGTACAGCCGTAGGCAAAGAGCAACGCGCAACACTAGGTCCCAATCTGGAGCTCATTTACAATTCTATCACCCCCAAGTTCCATTAAACTCTCCACCATGCCATTTGTTTGATGAGGTAAGAGTGCAACCAAGTGATTTACCCCATGAGCTTCCCAAAGGTTTTTCATAGTTCCTGCCAGGAAATTAGTCCCTGCACGGTGAGGATGTCGGAGCCAACCACCCTGCAAAAAGTCGCTATGCCTGCACACACTTTTACCCTGGTGTTGCTTAGAGCTACGTCCGGCCACGGTGCAAAATCCATGAAATCATATTACGCTTTCCTCGGTGTTTTTCGGAAAAGACCCAGAATACCACAGCTACCGCTGAAATGGAATCAATGATGGGGAGTGGCTGGAGAGGGTGACCTGGTCTTGGGGTTTTCCACTCTTTGGCACACCTCACAAGACTGGACATAGGTAGAAACATCCTTGCCCATTCCCTCCCAGTGGAATGACCCCCCAAACGTTTTGGTCGTTCACCCCAGCAGCCACTAGGGTGATCAGGGCTAAGCTCAAGACTGGCCGTATTTAGTTGGAACTACCAACGTCTCTGAGGATCCAGTCTCCTGGTGTCCACCAGAAAGAGTTTCCTTGTATAAAAGTCCTCTTTCTACAACAAACCTGGGTCGATTAGAGGGGGGAAGTCTTTGTTCTTCGTTGAAGTTCCTGACAGTTCTCGGGTTGGGACTAGCCTCTGGAATAGGGGTGGAGTTTTGTGTGACGGGGCAGTGTCGCTCTTGGTGTTACTGCCACAGTCGGGGGCTCCTGTTGAAGTACGAGAAGGGTGTTGGTGTCGCGGTCGTTCGGGAGGTTCCGTCGTCCTGGGAGCCACTATGTGTTGCAGAATTGCGTCCACCATCACCGACGGGTCCTGATAGAAGTTTCCGAACAGCTAGCCCACGTTGAGTGTGACCATTCCATCTGTGTTCTGATCATCCCCAACAGCGGGGATGGGATAATCATCATAGACCAAAGTCACTCCTACCATGTACGACAAAGGAGCATAAAAGTTGGATGAAGGGTTGAACGTCACTTGGATCTGGGTTGATAAAGGGTCCACTAGAGGAGCTGACATTTGTTGTCCCTCCACGCGCTCTTCCGCCCACAAGTTTCTCCGCTCCAAGGGTATTGGCTGTGGACCTCTGGTGTGTTGTAATAAGTAATCGTTGGGGTTCTTGGGCGTTGGCTTTACAGCCAGTCTTACATTAAAACGCAATCAGGGGGGGGAGGGGGGGGAATAAGGGGTTGAGGCTTTGGGAGGTAGGTGGGGTTTCGCCCCTAATAGGGGGGTCGGGGGGTTCTGGTCCCAACTCAAGTTTTTTTTGCCACCCCCATGCTCAATCCTCTTACTTTTTCCCTCAGTTCCTTTCGAACTCTAAGAGCCGCAAGGAACACGTCAGCCGAACACCAGTCACAATGGGTAGTGGGTAAATGAGTCGGTTTCCACCTTAGGGCTGAACCTCCAGTCGGTACCCCATTTTGGATTTAAAATCATACTGTTCATCTTTAGCATTTCAGGCCATCGTAAGGCACATCAACCAGGCAGAGTGTGACAAGCTTAGCCAAGAACGTATAGCTTGTAGGTGGGAATTCTGGGATGGGAAGGATGGAGAAGGATTGCTAGGGTTTGTTGGTATATTCTGTGCTTTATTCTCCATTTCCACATGTTCTCTTTTTCTCCTCCCATGCTCCTTTTTTTTCGTGTTCTTTTCATGTTCCCTTTGTTCCCATTGCTAATTGGTATCAACTTTTGCCTTCTAACCTCTCTGTTTTTACTAACTTTACCGGGTTTAGAAATAAAAAAAAATTGTAAAATTTTGTGTAAAGAATACCATTCTCTGATAGTGATTTCAGCTACAAAAAAAATTCCTTGTTGCCTGCCAAATTAAACAAAAACCCCAACTGTTGGAAACCTCCCAAAAAAAGAAGGCCTATTTATTTTAGGAAGAAAAAAAAAAACTGGTTGAAGATGTGAATTTCCGCGAGAACGCCTCCACAAAAAACCAATTCAAAGATAATCCCTTTGTTCTGTGCAAAGAGAAAAATGCTTTCAGTTCAAAGCTTTTGATTTTTTCAAAAAAAATTTCCTTTTTAAAATTGTATTTTAGTTAAAAATCTCAATACTCAATGATTTCAGGTTAACCCACCATGCCACCATGTCAGGTTCCTCCCACTCTGAACCTAGGGTACAGATGTGGGGATGCTAAAAAAACCCCTAAGCTTATCTTTACCAGTACAAAACCCCTAAGTACAAAATATTACACCGTTATCTTGGAATCCACCACCAAACTAATACTGGTTACTGGGGAAGAGTGTTTGGATTTCCCCCAAAATATTCCCAAAACCTTGCACCCCACTTCCTGACAAGGTTTGTAAAAGCCCACCAATTTGCCTAGGTGACTACAACCAGACCCTTGGATCTTAAGAAAATAACAATCTCCCAACACTTACCCTCTCCTGGGAAATGTTGGATAAAAAGCCCACCAATTTGCATAGGTGACCACAGACCCAAACCCTTGGATCTGAGAAAATGAAAAAGCTTCAGTTTTTTAAAGAAGACTTTTAATAAAAAATAGAGTAAATAGAAATAAAAAATCCCCCTGTAAAATCAGGATGGTAGATATCTTACAGGGTAATTAGATTAAAAATAGAGAACCCTCTAGGCAAAACTTAAGTTAAAAAAGTAAAGAAGAAATAGTTATTCTATTCAGAAATTCTTTTCAGCCATTTAAAGAAATCATAATCTAACACATACCTAGCTAATTACTTACTAAAAGTTCTAAGACTCCATTCCTGTTCTGTCCCTGGCAAGACCAGCACACAGACCCTTTGTTCCTCTCCCTCCTCCCAGCTTTTGAAAGTATCTTGTCTCCTCATTGGTCATTTTGGTCAGGTGCCAGCGAGGTTACCTTTAGCTTCTTAACCCTTTACAGGTGAGAGGAGCTTTCCCCTGGCCAGGAGGGATTTCAAAGGGGTTTACCCTTCCCTTTATTTTTATGACAAGGTCTATAAAGGAAACAAAATGCTAGCAAGCATAAGGAATGATGGAATGGAGAATAATGTAAAAATATTGTAACACCATTATATGAATCAAGGGGGCACACTTCATTGGGATTAGGGTTGGCTCTGATTACCCAAGATCTAAAAGATTTATTGGAAGATGGTGGGTGGGAAAAGAGTTGAGAGAAGGGGGATGAAAATGATCAGAGCTCTGGAGAGATTGGGATGGTTTAGTTAAGACAAAAAAGGTGATATGGAAAATGGTAGTGTCTAATTTACCACTTTATCATAAAACATGAATAAACTGAAGATTCACTAATTAAAATAGGTTAAGGGATTATAGAATGCAGGGTTAACTTGTAGAACTCATTGCCAAAAGGTTTCCATGAGGCCAAGAGCTTAGTAGAATTCAAAAAGAGAATTAGCTATTTAGACAGTGAGAATCTCCACAGTTGTTACATAGGATAAAAAAAAATTTAAAAGAGCAAAAACCCTTAGGCCTGAGGTCATAAGGCAGTTACTAACTGCCAGGGTTGGGGAAGTAATTTCCTGTATGTGTAGGGAATTCAACTCTGGGGTTTCTTACAGCTTCTCCTGATGCAGCTGGGCCTGACCTCAGTCAGGGACAGGACACCAGGCTAGATGTAGCCTGTTGGCGGGATCCAGTCTGACAATTACTATGTTTCTTTGGAAATAGTAGAATGGAGTTGAAAATTCTACCTAAGGTCACATTTCATTGACCCTCTCTGTTTGTACCGTAGGAGAGAAGAACAAAAAGTGTGTTGACAACTCTGGTAAGAAAGAAACATTTTGTTTTCATTGATCTGACCATAACTTGCCCTCTGTATTGAGGGGCAGGACTGAGACCAACCCCACCAGGCAAACATGTCATACGCAGGGAAACAACTTGAGAAAAAAGTGGGGTGAACAGCATGGTCCATCTATTTATCCAGGTTCTCGTATGGAGCTCATGACTTGTATCTGAGCACCTTCACGTCTGACTCAATTCCATGCGCAGCTGATTTCTGAAAAGAAATTTTGAGAATAACCCCCTAGAGCACTAGAGATTCATCTTCAGTGTTCTGAACTGTAAGCTGAACACACATCCCCTAACCCTGCAACACAAGTGTGTCTTCATCTCCCTCCTCTCATAACTAGACCCATTCTGTCCCCAATGGGGTGACATCCTCTCAAAGGACTAAACAGGACTATTTTACCAGAGCAGATCGGAAAAATTTCAACAAAATATTTTCTCGTTGGAATTTGACAGTTTGTCAAACTCCAAACCTTTTGCAGAGATGGTTTGATTTTGACGCTGTCAGAACGTTGCCTGGGTTCTGGCAGCTCACCTGCCTGGCTCCTTGGCTGGGAGGCTGCCTAGGAGTCATGGACCCCAGGACTTCCAGTGCCCCCGACTCTGGGACAGCCTGGTTGGTGGACTGCCCCAGAGCTGATGCTCCATTCCCTTGTGTGGAGAATTTCAAAATGTTGGGGTTTTTCATTCCAAGTGAGAACAAAACCAAATTTTGAAATATCAAAATCCTCCACAAAATGGAATGACCCTTCTTTTCATTTTCCCCGAAAGCTAATAAAAAAACAGAAATGGTGTTACTGGTGTCTGCATCCAGTCTTTCATAGATTCTGGTCTTCATTATTCATAACTGGTCTGGAATACACTTATATGGGAGAGAACAAGCTCCAAATCAGAGCCTCTGGGACTGGCTTGGGTGAAACATGCTCACCAATGATTAGGAGTGCTTGTGGCACCTTAGACTAACCAACTTATTTGGGCATAAGCTTTCGTGAGCTGCAGCTCACTTCATCGGATTGTAGCTCACGAAAGCTTATGCTCAAATAAATTGGTTAGTCTCTAAGGTGCCACAAGTACTCCTTTTCTTTTTGCAAATACAGACTAACACAGCTGCTATTCTGTCACCAACGATTGATACCAAAGGAACAAGCAGGCTGAGGAGGGAGGAAGGAAGCAGGTGAAATCTCACCAGTGAGATGAATGTTGCAGACTGGACTGTCCTGCTGAGGGGAAATGGATTAGTGTCTCTCTGCAATAAGCAGGTTCCAGTAGCCATTGGGAAGGATCCCTGTGTCCCACTTTAAGGATCTCTCTGTCAGTGTGAAATAATTTCCTAACAATTGTTTGATCCGCTTTTTCCTATTAACAGCTACCAGAAGAGGCCTGGCCTTCCCCAGTGTTCTGAGCCCTTCACTGTTTGGAGGACCCATCCTCCTGGTCCACGTTGCTGCTCTGAAGCTGTTTGCTGATTTCTAAATTGTCCTATTCGTGTCGCTCACTTTTTCTCTCGAACACAAATCATGGTGATGGGATTTGCCAGATCCAAAGCCGTCCTGCTATTCTGCCAGCGTTCCAAAGGGAAACCAGGAACATGGAGGGAGTGTCACTGGTACCTGCTTGGGCAAGCTTTGATTATACGTTATCAAACAACATTATCCGATAGTTCTATTCCAGGTGGGATTTGTTTTACAATGGTAGAGCTATAAATTGATGCCTGTTATATAAAGAATTACTTGTATTCCTGTCATGCTAGCACTTTCGTACCAACTTTTGATGACTTCAGTAAAAGACTTCTAAGATATGAACTAAGTAAAAGTATTTTCATTAATATGGTAGATGGGTTTAATCTGTCTCTCAGCCAGGTGAATCTGTAACAGCACAGTTTGTGGGGTCCCATGTCTATCTCTCTCAGTCACTTCCATATCAAATTTTCTCAGAAGAGAATATTTTTAACTGTGAAATCAAAGGTCCAATTCTGGGCTAGTTTACCCACCTGCATGCCCACTGACTGTCCTGGGATTGCATGGGGTCTAATCAGTAACAGCATGGAGGTAGGCCTGACCACTACCATGGTAGCTGATGTATTCCAGCAAGGGGCAAGGCGTGTGTATGAATATTCTGAATAGCCAGAGAGAGCCATCAGGAGGACACCGGATCTGGACACAGTTGTGATGGGATCCCCATGGTGCAACCTGGGACTCTGGGACTGCTGTGCCCCCTTAACTCTCTCCAGCCTGGTCTGTCTCTCACAATGCCTTGCTAGTGACCAGCAGCAAACCCCTCCAGGTGCTGTGATCACTCAGTACAACAGCATGTGGAGCCCCATACCCAGGTATACTGCATGAATGCTCCCAGAACCACTCATGAATCACACAGGGAAAGGCACCAGAGCAAAATCCCCCCAGCTCCCAGCCTTGTACCCCAGGAATATACGGTCTTGCCCTGCTCAACAATGGAAAGTGGACATACACCAGCCTTTGCAAACCTCAGTACATTTGCCACACACTTCAGGCAAACTCACTGGTAAAGATAAACAGCTAAACAAATTTATTGACTACAAAAAGATATTTTAAGTGACTAAAAGTGTTTGACTTTTTGCCTAAGTTAGTTACCAAAAGAAAAAAGTGTACACAGTCTAAAACTCTCAACCCTATTAGACTGGGTAACAGCTAGACTAAACAATTTCTCACCCCACTGGATATTGCTGTCCTTAATATCATAGGCACCAGCTTTCAAAAGTGCCCCAAGACCCCACTCCCCCCAAGACCCCATTCCACCTCACCTCTTTCTGCCCCTGCTCCACCCCGCCCCTTCCTGCCCAGTTCTACCAGATCTTCACTACTCCCCCCTCAGAGCCTCCCGAATTCCACAAAACAGCTGATCACTGGAGGCAGGGGGAGGCGCTGATAAGCAGGGCCCGCTGGAGGCCATGGTGGGAGAGGAGAAGCGGATGGGTGCTGAGCACCCACCGGCAGCCATCCACCAATTTTTCCCCTGTTGGTGCTCCAGCCATAGAGCACCCACGGAGTCAGTGCCTATTCTTAATATACAGGTTTGTCCTTTAAACCTGGGCCAGTCTCCTCTGTTGGAGTCTTCAGTTTTCTTCTAAGTGTCTTGGTTGCTTGCAGCATAGGTGGAGGCAGGAGAAAGGCGAAGCATGGGCCTGCTCTGTTCTATACCCTCAGTCCCATGTGCTTGGGGAACACACAAGTCCAGGCATATCCGGGGGCATTATGTAGTCTCTAGGCAAGGTTGAGCAGTTCCCCTGGTGTGGCTTCATGCAGGTGAGTCATTGAATTGTAGCTCCCCTGCTGGACAATGGCTGTTGATGAGTAGTCTGACATCCCTCCCAGGCATTGGTTACTTTCCTTGCTGTTGCCTCTGGGGAGCTAATATCTGGCTGATTCCGCAACTTACAGCATGTTTTAGTGACCACCATACAACACAATTCCGCAACTTACAGCATGTTTTAGTGACCACCATACAACACAATTCTCATCACTTCCTTTGCATTAATGATATACATATATGGATAGAGAAATGACCGTCAGCAGATCACAACCTTGTCCCTGATACATATGGGGCATGCCTTGTAAGGCAAGATCACGATATATATATTTTTTTTTAAAAAAAGGAACATGGGGGTTACAGGACGCTCCCTCAAGATATAGAATGTCACAACTGTAACAGTAATTGTCTCGCCAATTCAACTTCCTGCTCCTATTCTATATTCCAGTCCCTCATCTTGTAAGTGTGAGCTACATCCTTTGTTGTTTTAGAGGTATTAAAATGCGTTATTTAAAGTAGCCCTCTGTCACAAATATAAAGGGAAGGGTAAACACCTTTAAAATCCCTCCTGGCCAGAGGAAAAACCCTTTCACCTGTAAAAGGTTAAGAAGCTAGGATAACCTCGCTGGCACCTGACCAAGATGACCAATGAGGAGACAAGACACTTTCAAAAGCTGGGGGGAGGGAGAAACAAAGCCTCTCTCTCTGTCTGTGTGATGCTTTTGCTGGGGACAGAACAGGAATGGAGTCTTAGAATTTAGTAAGTAATCTAGCTAGATATGCGTTAGATTCTGATTTCTTTAAATGGCTGAGAAAATACACTGTGCTGAATGGGATGTAGATTCCGGTTTTTGTGTCTTTTTGTAACTTAAGTTTTTGCCTAGAGGGATTCTCTATGTTTTGAATCGAATTACCCTGTAAGATATTTACCATCCTGATTTTACAGAGGTGATCCTTTTTACTTTTAAAATTCTTCTTTTAAGAATCTGAATGCTTTTTCATTGTTCTTAAGATCCAAGGGTTTGGGTCTGTGTTCACCTATGCAAATTGGTGAGGATTTTTATCAAGCCTTCCCCAGGAAAGGGGGTGTAAGGGTTGGGAGGATTTGTGTGTGTGGGGGGAGGGGAAGACATTTCCCAATGGACTCTTTCCCAGTAATATACCGGTTAGACGTTTGGTGGTGGCAGTGATAAAGTCCAAGGGCAAAAGGTAAAATAGTTTGTACCTTGGGGAAGTTTTAATCTAAGCTGGTAAAAGTAAGCTTAGGAGGTTTTCATGCAGGTCCCCACATCTGTACCCTAGAGTTCAGAGTGGGGAAGGAACCTTGACACCCTCTTTATCAAGTACCTAGATCACTCTGACTTGTATAACTGACCTGTCCCTATCTATCATTTGCCACTCCACCAATTTTTGTATCATCTGCAAGTTTTACCAGCAATTATTTTATATTTTCTTCCAACTCATTGATAAAGATATTGAATACTTTGCTCTACAGGACCGCACTTCAAACACCCCCATTGGATGATGATTCCCCATTTAAAATTACTTTTTGTGATATATCAGCTAACACGTTTTGATGCCATTAAATATGGACTACATTAGGGCTAGTGCTGATTTTTTATCAGTCTGTCGGGCGGGACTAGGTCACTTGCCTTAGAGACATCTAACTCTATTATGCCAAACCAGTTACCATGAGCAGCAAAATTTATAATCTCACCCAAAAATGAAATCAGGTTTCGTTACCAAGACCTATTTTCCATAAACCCAGGTTGAATGGCAAGAATACCCAGCCTTTAATTCTTTAACAGACCTCTGGTCTTCCTGAACAGGTTACAACCAGTGATTTTAATATTCCAGTCATGCAAGTCATCCCATCAGGTTTCAGTAACTCCATTCACATCACACGTCTTCTCAATGAGCATTTCCAGTTTCCGTTGCTTGTTACCCACATTCGTAGTACTGCTAGATAAGCATCTTTCAGAGATAATTCATGACAAGCTCCAGTCACGGTGAAGCCCACACACCTGATTAATCAATTAGCCAATGCTTGATTAAATTCATACCACCTATAGAAAGGTCTGAGACAGAACTGATCAAAGCCATCAAACTACCAGAAAGATTCACTTCTTGGTAAGATACATAAATGGCCAGGGAATGAGGAGAGGCAGTGGAACCTGCCCTGGGGTTCGGAGGTCAGCTGGGAGGGGCTACTCCACCGCTTGTAATTGGGAGACAGACGAAACCTTGGGACCAGACGATTCTAGGGCAGTTGCAGATGAAGGGTAGCTATCAAAAGAGAGGGGCCCTGGTGGCTCCTGGATCTGCTTAAGTGCATCTGTAACAGAGTCACACTCACGTCTCACGAGCACCCCCTGGCCGAGTGCATGGGCCTGCGTTCTCTGTTTGTGGTGGCTCTTCGGTGAGTCAGCCCTCTGGCCAAATCATACACATGCTGTCTGTGAGATAAACACAAATGCCTTCCGGGGTACAAGTCCAACAGGGGCCTCTCTCAGTGCCCTCTGTGATGTCTCTGTTTATCCCTGCTCCAGAATAGAGCGGTGCCCCAAGGCTCCTTCCCTGGAGGCAGTGTCTTCACCCTCTCAGGGCCTCTCCAGCCCTAGCTCTTCATCTGGGCCACTATAGTTCAGTCCCTCTTCTGGGGTGCCTCAAAGTCCAGGCCAGTGGCTGGAAGGCAGAGGCAGAACCAGACCCACCCTCTACTCCGGGTCCAAGCCCAGGGACCCTATAGATAGCAGCCATTTGTAATGTCCCTTTAAATAAACTGTCTTGCTACTATAATTCCCTGGGCCACTTTCCCATGGCTCCCGCACATTCTTCATCCTTAACTCAAGACCTTGTCCTTTTGGAGTCCCAGCAACCAGCCTGGAGCACCATCCAGCTCTAGCCAGGAACTGAAGTCCTGCTAAGTTAGCCCTGCAGCTCTTCTTATACTGACCTGCTGGGCCCTGATTGGCTGCTTCCCACACAGCCGCTCTAGGCAGCTCAGAGGGCCTCTCTATTGCCCTTTTCTGGGGTGGGGTGTGGCAGGGTCACAAGGCCTCCAGCAAGGGGACCTCAGGGCCTAGACCACCCCGTCAAAGTGTAACCCACACACCTACTGGATGTGGTGCTTTGTCCCATCTAGTGGCACCGAGACTGCTTAGAGTGAGAGATTAATGAGTCTGCTCTACAGCTTTCGCTAAGGGCCAGGTGGCTTTTAGCTCATGCAGTAGAGGCTCATGCACTAAGCTACAGAGGTCCCAGGTTCAATTCCTGCCCACCAACTACTGGGGTCTGTCGGCATTACAACAGTATCACACTGTAAAGCATCAGTACAGATTTGCCAAGATGAAAATCCTGCAGGAGAAGCCTACAGGCAAAGCTCTTAGAAGACGTGGAAGATCTCTGCTGATTTTCTGTTACAACAGACGGTGGATTAATTAAATTCACATGGGAGGAATGCCAAATAGCTCCTAGATAATTTTATCATAGTGGGAGCAAAATGGGTCATGC